ACCTAGAAGATAAAATGTTTCAGTATAGGATTCAAAAGATAAAAAACTATCGATCTAAGACTTAATATTTCATAGGTTTTGATTTATTTAATTTTTTATTAATTCCATTGCTAATATTTGATGAACTTTCTTCACAAAAGTTTATTAATTTAATACAACTAAATAAAATTTATTTTTTAAAAATAAAAAAATAACAAAGTTTATGACAACTTAGGACCCTATTGATAGTTTTCAATTATTCAATTCCTATATTGATAATTTTTCATCATTCAAGTCTTCTATTTATATATAAGACACTACAAAAAAACACGCCGTTTGTCACGGATTTTTGTCACGGATCCTGGCCGTGACAAATTTGTCACGGGCTTTGTCACGGAATTTTGGGATTTGTCACGAAAATTATTTGTCACGGATTTATCCGTGACAAAATCCGTGACAAAATTTTGTCACGGATTTGGTCCGTGACAAATTTATTCCGGCGACCGGTTTTTTACTCCGGTGAATACTTTTTTGCTTCCGGGCATTTGTCACGGACAGATCCGTGACAAATCCGTGACAAATTTCAAAAAAAATCAATTATTGATTTTCCAGCGGTAACCTTTAATAATACGGAAATACGGTATGGGAAAAGATTTGTCACGGATAAATCCGTGACAAATCCGTGACAAATTTCAAAAAAACTCAATTATTGATTTTCCAGCGGTAACCTTTAATAATGCGGTACAGAAAAAGATTTGTCACGGATAAATCCGTGACAAATCCGTGACAAATTTTTTTATATAACCCAACTCCATCGTCCATTACAATTGCAAGAACAACAATCAGTTTAAAAATTCGTAGATTCGAGTGATGTAGTATCGGTTTAAAGATTGAATGATGTAATCCGTCAGTTCATCATTTTCCGAGTTTATGCTGATAAGGTATGTCATTTTAATTAATTTCCTTTAATTGTGTGATAAATTAATTATTAGCTTAATTAATTAATTATTATTAATGAGGTTAGGATTCTTTTTTCTTTATATAATAATAATTAATTATTAGCTTAATAATTAATCAGTGAGGTTTGTTAAATAATTAATTATTAGTTAAATTTAAATATAAATATTAATTAGTTAAATTATTGTTATTATTAGTGCATAATAATTTAGGATGTGTAGTGATGATTTAAGTATTAGCTAGCTTATTATAGATTAATTAATTAGTGACTTGTAGTGATTTAATTAATTAGTTAGCTAGCTTAATTATTAGGTTATTAGTTATCACCAATTATTATTTATTAGCAATTATTGTTAATGGGATGCATAATTAATATAGCTAGCTAGGATTGAAACTTTATTATTATTTAGTTTAGTGTGAATTATTATTGTGAATTATTAATGAGATAATATTTAACAATAATATTAGTTAAATGTAAATTAATTGACTAATTAATTAAGTTAAAACATTGAGGAAATGGGTTTAGAATTTGATGAGTTGATAATATTAGTTAGATTTAAATATTAGTTAATTGATCAATGATGATAATGCATGATTAGGTTTAATTTGTTTATTAATTAGTTAATTATTGTTAATGCATAATTTAGGATTTGTAGTGATTTAAGTTAGGATTCAAACTTTATTAGTTAAGTGTGAATTATATATTATTGTGAATTAATTATATTTAACAATATTAGTTAAATGGAAATTAACTAATTAATAAGTTAAATTAGTTAATTATTGTTAATGGGATGCATAATATATATAGCTAGGGTTGAAACTTTATTTTTATTTAGTTTAGTGTGAATTATTATTGTGAATTATTTTTGTGAATTCACAATAATAATTCACAATATTAGTTAAATGGAAATTAACTAATTAATTAAGTTAAAACATTGAGGAAATGGGTTTAGAATTTGATGAGTTGATAATATTAGTTAGATTTAAATATTAGTCAATTGATCAATGATGATGATTAGGTTTAATTTGTTTATTAATTAGTTAATTATTGTTAATGATTAATTTAGGATTTGTAGTGATTTAAGTTAGGATTCAAACTTTATTAGTTAAGTGTGAATTATATATTATTGTGAATTAATGATATTTAACAATATTAGTTAAATGGAAATTAACTAATTAATAAGTTAAATTAGTTAATTATTGTTAATGGGATGCATAATATATATAGCTAGGCCGGGTTGAAACATTAATTTTATTTAGTTTAGTGTGAATTATTATTGTGAATTATTATTGTGAATTATTATTGTGAATTAAAGTTGGTTAATTCAAATTATTAATGCCACAAATTAAATAATGTACTGCTTTTAGTTAATTAATAATATTAATGTACTTATATATTATTTTGATTATAATATATATACAGGCATAATGTATAGATAAAACAGAAGTTGGATGTACCAAAAACATCGTGATAACTATGGAATACGCAGTGAATTTTTGAATGGTGTTGAAGATTTTATTAAATTTGCACAAGAACAGAAGAATTATATGGATGGAGATAAAATCAGATGTCCATGTACAAAGTGTAAAAATCTTCAATTTAAAGATGTCGACCAAGTTGTGTGGGATTTGTACGAAAAAGGTTTCGTTGCCAATTATTATAATTGGACTTCTCATGGTGAACCTTTCGATCCATCACTTTTACCGCAAACAGTGGGTTCATCTCGTAACGTCCCTACCGAGATGAGTGGATGGGGAGACTATGATCAAATGACGTGGGATCAAAGAATGGCATATGATGTATACGGTGCTTCAACGATGCAGTTTAACCCACCACAGCCATTTAACGATCTTCCCGAAGCTTCGACCTCGTATCAACCCGATGCGGATGAAGATCAGACCTTTTATCAGTCTGCTGTGGATGAGTATCCGAATTCTCATGTTCCTCATATTGAAGACTTAGCTGAAAGATTTCAAGATGTTTTAAAAGCTGCTGATCAGCCTCTGTATGCTGATTGTGAGGGATACTCTCAGCTATCCGCCGTTACAGAGTTGATGAACATTAAATCTGAATACAATCTTCCTGAATCTTGCATGTCTAGGTTATTGCAGTCATTTGGAGGAATGTTACCGCGTGACCATAATCTTCCTGATTCATATTACAAAATGAAACAATTAATGTCTCAGTTGGGGCTTCCTTGTATAGAAATTGATGCGTGCCCAGAAGGATGTATGTTGTTCTGGAAGGATGATGTGGCACTTGAGACCTGCAAGTTCTGTGGTGGAGAGAGATACAAGCCTGTTCCTCATAGACGAAAAAAACCACGAAAAAGGTCTGCATTGTCTAAATTGTTTTACCTCCCTCTAGCTCCACGCCTGCAGAGGATGTATGCTTCAAATGCTACTGCGAAACACATGACGTGGCATGTTGAGCACGAAACCAAAGAGGGTTTGATGTCTCACCCTTCCGACTGTGAAGCTTGGAGACACTTTGACCGTTGTCATCCTCAGTTTGCAATGGAGCCACGGAATGTGCGATTGGGATTGTGTTCAGACGGATTTGCTGCTTTTGGAAAGTTTGGGAAGAAATTTTCATGTTGGCCAGTCATGTTAACTCCTTATAATCTTCCTCCCGACATGTGCATGAAAAGTCATTTCATCTTTTTAACTTTAATTTGTCCAGGTCCCTCGGATCCTAAAAAAAGGATAGACATCTATCTCCAACCCCTGATCGAGGAGATGAAAGAACTTTGGGCCATTGGGACACCAACTTATGATGTTTCGAGAGATCAGATGTTTATCATGAAAGCTGCCATCATTTGGACCATTAGCGACTTCCCTGCTTATGGTATGCTTTCAGGATGGAGCACACACGGTCTTATGGGATGTCCGATATGTATGGATCAATCAGAGGCCAATTGGCTCAAATTTAGCCGGAAACCAAGTTACTTTGATTGTCACCGCAAATTTCTGCCTATGAACCATCGATATCGAAAGGACAAGAAGTCTTTTATTGCCGGAAGAGTGGTACGAGATCCCCCTCCTCCGAGACTTACAGGTGAACAAGTTTTTAACCGGGTTCGACGTTTTCCTACGGCCGTGCAGCAACCTCACGGGGAGCCAAATGGGTATTGTGATACCCATAAGTGGACAAAGAGAAGTATATTTTGGGAGTTGCCGTATTGGAAGGACCTTCTCATTCGTAACAATTTAGATGTCATGCACGTTGAGAAGAACGTCTTTGACAATATATTTAACACGGTTATGGATTTTACCCACAAAACCAAAGATGGTCTTGCATCTAGAAAAGACATGACAATTTGGTGCGACAGACCCGAACTCGCCGTCGATCTAGAATACGTGGGTAAAAAAATTCCAAGAGCAGTCTACCAACTCACAGCCCCACAAAGGGAATCAATATTAGAGTGGCTTGTTTCTCTGAACTTTCCAGATGGCTATTGTTCTAACTTGTCAAGATGCGTGGACCTGGACAAACAAACAATGACGTCGAGCATGAAAACTCATGATGCTCATGTAATCATGCAACGACTTCTGCCGATTGCACTGAAAGAGATGCTTCCTGCAGACGTCTGGGGCTGTATTATTGAAATCAGTCAATTGTTTCAGTCGATATGTTCCGCCGTTTTGGATGCCGAATCCCTGAGGAGACTAGAAGACACTGTTCCAATTCTGATGTGTAATCTGGAAAAGATACTGCCCCCATCATTTTTTGATGTAATGGAACATCTTCTAATACATCTTCCGTATGAGGCTTTGAATGGAGGGCCCGTCTTCTATCGTTGGATGTACAGATTTGAAAGTTTAGTCATAATTTCATTTATAAACGATGATTTGTTTAATAAGAACATTTGTTTGTTTACAAATTTTATTTTGCATGACAGATTTCTGGGAGATTTGAAAAAGAAAGCGACCAACAAGGCACACATTGAGGCTTCAATTTGTCAAGCATATATTCAACAAGAAACCTCAACGTTTTCATCTTTTTATTTTGAGCGTGAAGTAATCAGTAAAAGAAAGAGACCTGCTCGGAACGATGACATTGGCGAGGATTCATATGATAAAGTAGTTTCTATTTTCAACTACCCAGGTAGAGGTAAAGGAGCTGCGACTTACCGTTACATCGTGGGCGGAGAAATGAAAATTGCACATAATTACATCCTCATGAATTGTCCAGAAATCTTACCATTTTATAAGTAAGTTGAATTGGTAGTTACATTTGTAATATAGCTAATATTTTTTTAATAATTAGAGTGTTATAATAATATCTTTATGTTCAATTCACAGTGAATTTAGAGCGTCTTTATCAGCATTTCCTGATGATGCAATTGATGCAATGGTGGACTCTGACTTTGCATTATGGTACCAACAGCAGGTATTATATATATATATATATATATATATATATATATATATATATATATATATATATATAAATACATTATATATACTATTAGCTAGTAATTTTTAATCATTACCTAATGTTATCATGTTTTAATTTGCAGATCAGGTACCGTGGGATTAACGACCCTCTGTTAGTATCCTTATCGTGGGGCCCTTCTTCCTATGCAAAGGTTTGGCATTCATATGTGATAAACGGTTATACGTATCACACAGTTGAATATGGAGAAGGTCGACCAACAATGAACAGCGGGTTATGTGTCCCGACCATCGGTTCTGATAACTCGGAAACCAATTTTTTTGGTTTCTTGCATGAGATTCTCGAACTTCAAATGCCTTCTGATTTGCAAGAATTAACATGCGTGTTGTTTCGCTGCACATGGGTCGACCCTACACGTGGTGTGAGAAAAAATTCAAAATATAATATAATTGACGTCAACCACTCTCGTGTGTATCAGAAAAATGAGCCATTTATACTCGCTCAACAAGCAGCCCAGGTTTATTATGCAGAGTATCCTTCAACGAGGCGCACACGGAATCCTTGGGTGTGTGCCATTAATATCCGTCCGAGCAAAATTGTAACACAGGCTCAACAAAGGGATATTGACTTTGATGCTTTTCAGCAAGATTTTTTCCACCCTCCGCCTATTGCTGATACGGTCAACCATAACATTCAGTTAAGTGACCCAAATGGCGGAGATGTTGAAGTTATGCCTGAAACACACCTTCCGCCCCCTATACCTCAAAATGAGCGCGAAATTGAAGAATTATATATACAACAACTGCACGATGACCAGGAGGAAGAAGAAGAATGGATATCTGGTGATGAAGATACAGAAGAAGAAGTTGCCTATCAAGAAAATACTGATTCTGATAGCGATTAAATGTATACTTAACAACCAATGTAATTACTTTTAATTGAACTATTTTAATTTGAATTTTTAACTTTCTTTCGTCATTATTATATTATTCCAGGATATAATAGTTAGGTATGTAATTCACAACTATCATTTCTAAACAAAATAATTATTCCATATTATATTGTAAAATAGCGATTAATTATTTAATAAAATTAAGTTTTTAAAATTATTCAATTGAAAATTAGTGGTTCATTATTATCGATTCGTAAATTTAAAATTAATTAGGTAATTTCGAAAATCGAAAATTAAATAATTCGAAATTTAACATTATTTAAAATTCGGAAATTAGTTTTTTAACATTATTTGTTATTAGTTTTTTAACATTACAAAATTTTAATAATTCGAAAATTAATAAACAAGAACATGAATTTATTTATTAAATTTAAAAACTAAGTAGAAAACACACAATTTTTTATCATTTATTACATTCAACAACTCACAATACAGATAAACAAATAAACACAATATTATTCATTAGCGTCAAAACTTTCATCTAGAGGCCTATCAAGTAGCTCGTTAATTCTTTCTGCAGCTTCCGCGTTTATAGGTATCATATACTCCGAACATTGTTCTGCGCGTAAAAGTGCCATACGCAAGTTTTTCCCTCGTGAAACGTTGTATGAGTCCGATTCATAGTCTATAATATCGCCAAAGCTTTCAAGCGGTCTACTCATCAGCTCACGGATGCTTTGAACTGCTTCTGCATTTCGAGGCTTCATCAACTGTGTAACTTGTTTTAATCTTTGTACACTTCTACTGATCAACTTCCACACATCTGGTTCTGGATTAGCCATTTTTTCGCACCGAAAAAATGGGACTCTAAGCACATATTTATACTTAAATTTGTCACGGATAGGTCCGTGACAATTAAAGTAGCTGACGCCTCGTCTGATTAAGGCTGAAAAAGCTTTAATATTCCCTGCACCGGTTTGTCACGGATTCATCCGTGACAAATCCGTGACAAAATTCAAAAATTTGAATGTTGTCACGGATTTGTCACGGATGAATCCGTGACAAACCGGTCAACCTGCCGTTCTGACGCCTCGTCTGCCGTTCCCTGCCGCCTCGACTGCTGTTCCGCAGTTTACAAGTTCCGATACCTTTGTCACGGATTAATCCGTGACAAATTTCAAATTTAAAAATCCGTAATTAATTTCTCACGGGCTTTGTCACGGACGGGTCCGTGACAACCTCTAATATATAAACGACACTTAGTTTTTTTTTCTCTTACGCTTCCCAATTCCTTCAGCAACCCTAAACGCCTCCCACTACTCCCTTACGCCTTCCGACACCCGCCCACCGCCACCCTCCGAAACGCCTCCCACTTCGCCGCCCTGCTGCCTCTCTTACACCCGCCGACCGCCACCCTCCCAAACGCCTCCCACTCCGCCGCCCTTCTGCCTCTCTTACACCCGCTGACCGCCGCCGCACACCTCTCACCGGCCACCGCGGATTATCTCCACCCCTGACGCCGTTCTTCGAAGCCGGCCTTCTCTTCTTTCCCTTTCATTTCTTGCCTTCTTCTCCGAGGTTATGTTTCTAACTCTTTAATTTCCGAATATTTTAGAATAAATGTTTTAAAATGCCAAAAAGTAAATGCATGTTTTTCTTAATATTCTTTAATTGTTTAATTTAATGTGTATATGTTAATAAGTTATCATGCATTGAATATGTGTATATGTTTAATGTTTACATGTTTCCGAATATTAATATGCATGCTCGAAATTTTATGGCATGTTTTTAATTATTTAATGCATGTTTTTCTTAATATCCATGCATGTTTCTATGTTTTTCATAATATTCATATGCATGCTCGTAAATTTATTTATTTAATGCATGTTTTTCTTAATATGGTTTTAATGTTTATATGTTTCCGAATATTCATATGCATGCTCGTAATTTTATTGCATTTTTTTAATTATAGTCGGATTACACGGATATAATGCATGTTTTCCGAATATTCATATCCGAATAGTCGTAATTTCCACATAAGGCATGTTTTTCTTAATATTCATGCATGTTTAAATGTTCTTCTTCATATTCATATGTGAGGTTAGATTTAACGTTTCATAATGTGTATCATTTGTGTATAGGCTTTAAATATGCCTTAGATATTGTTAATTTAAGAATGTCTGCTTTAGAATAGTTAATTATTAAATTTTCAGTCAAGGTTATTTTGAGTTTTTGTTAATTTCGGATATTTATTAAGACTAATAATTTCAACTCCATTAATTTTCGCCCCCTCATGTTACACTTTCAAAAAAGTTAACATGTCTAACCCAACAAAATAATGAAACTGTTAATTATTTTTTTATAATATTTCGGATATTATATTATTTTTTTAATATTATAAAACACTTTAAAAAAAATTGGATCATTTAACTGATTTTTAAATAATTTCGGATATTATAATATTTTATTTTAAATAAAACGTTGTTTCATAAATAACATAAAACAGAAATGAAGTAAAAAAAATGTATTTTATATATTAAAATAGAAATAAAAAACCAAACAAACTGTTTTTGTTTATATAATACGAAAATGATTTCATATGTTTCATGAAAAATTGATTTTATGGGTTTCATGAATAAACAAAAAATGAAACTGATTTTTAAATTTTTTTTGAAAAAATTGATTTTATAGATTTTAAAAATCAGGTCACTGTTTTTTTATAAATTAATACCATACCCAATTAAATTCCATAACATAAAAATCATACAAAAAACTCATTCTACCCCTCATATTAAACTCAAGTTTAATATGTTCTATATTTCAAAGATTGATAAACACGTAACACAATTAAATTCAATAACATAAAAATCATACAAAAAACTCATTCTACCCCTCATATTAAACTCAAGTTTAATATGTTCTATATTTCAAAGTTTGATGAATAAATAGGAAACTAATAAGTTTAAACCATTGATACCACACAAAAACTTCATAAACTGATTTTAGAAAACTGTTTTTTATAAATAATACCAAATACAAGATGTAATAAATTGTATTTTTCTAAATTAATGCAAAACACTGATTTTCGATGATTTATAATTTAATAGGGAAAAACTGATTTTATTAGTTTAAATTAAAAAGTTTGATCAATTGATTTTATATAAGGTTTCATAAAAAATATACACAACACAAGTTACCTCCATAACATAAAAATCATCCAAAAAACTTGTTCGACCCCTCATATTAAACTCAAGTTTAATATGTTATATTTATCAAAGTTTCATACCACACAAAAACACCATAAAATAATACCTAACATCATGAAATTCAATAACATAAAAATCATACAAAAAACACATTCTACCCCTCATATTAAACTCAAGTTTAATGTGTCTCATATTAAACACCAGTTTAATATGTTCTATATATTATTTCTCAATAATTTTAGATGAGTGAGCACGAACGCCGCCTTTCCACCATTGCTCGTCGTGGGCGTCAGAATTCACGACGGGCCTCAAATGCTGATCGTTATATCAATGATGATATCAATCCCGACGAAGGACAAGCTCTTGACGGACATGTCCAAACTCCTCCCTCCGAACAATCAGACGCTCATATAAGCGTGCATGGGGAGGGGGCATCATCTCATGCACCTCCTTCATCTTGTGCAATATATGCCCCCCCCCCCCCCCCCCCCCACTCAAGAAGAGCGCCACAATCCCGGTTCGCTTGAGGTGACACCTCAATCGATCCATAGGTAATAAAATACTAACATTCTGTAATATAAAATAGTATAATCTCTTTATCTAAGAATTAATACAATTGTTTTTATCAATTATCAATTTTTTGAAGCGATTCCGAGGTCTTGAATAGAATCAAGGCTATCGTTTGTGGTCATTTCACCGGGCCGTGGTCGACTTACGGTGAGGTTCCGGCGGCCACTCGTGAACTATGGTGGCGGTTGTTCAAGGTAAAAATAAATATTTTAGCTACATTTTAGTAACTTAAATTTAAGAAATGATGATATATCAATGTTTTTCATGAAGGCTTCCCATCGTTGGCATTTTGCCCTAGACCAAGCGATTCTCAAAGAATACAATTCTAGGATTTCTGGGTGGTTGAGACCCACTTTTAGGACCGCCCGGTCTACGGGTAAAAAGCCAAAGTTCCTTGGCGATGATGTGTGGGAGATGTTGTGCCGCCACTGGGCTACGGATGCCTCATTTTTGCTGAGAAGCGAAATGGGCAAGGCAAATCGGGCTTCCGATAAAGCCAAGGAAGTTCAATGGCACGGGGGCCGCAAACCCCAAAGTCAACATAAAAAAGATCTGGTAAACTCTATTCAGTTAAAATTATTTCCATTCCATACCATTATGTATATATATATTTTTATTAACTTTGAAATCCGTGTAGGAAGGATCTGGACCCGTGCCAA